AACTACTTAATCTTCCAGTTGTGATTCTCAGGCTTTCTGAAGTGAAGGAGCCTTTCTAATATTATAAATTTCACCCCCCACTTTCTTACCAACACACGCATATAAACACATGATGGCTTTTAGTGTTTTGTAGGAGAAAGTACGTGGAAGTAATATAATTCAGTGACATTTATAAGTGAATATATTAAATTAATCACCGATACTATCTGTGAACATTTGAAAAATATCAATATGTGAGTGAGTGAATGTGTGTGTGTAAGACATTATTCATTCGGTCTGAGCCAAAGCATGATACAGATTTGGGCTTTTCAACCTCTGGTGATAATTACAGAGCCCCGTGCCCCACCGGGATCTCCGGAGACTGTCTGGGAACCTCTAGGTCTCCACAGGGCCCTCTCTAGGATGCTGACCTAGACGGTACCTCCTGAGAGGAAACTGAGGATTGAGTGAGAGGGATGTTCTTAACCAGAGATGCTCAGATCTTGCTTTTCACTGCCTCCTCTTCCCTGAAACTTCCCCTCACTCTTTTAAGATGTTCTGTCTTAGATTATTCTCTGCCTGACATTTACCTGCCACTGGCAGCTGCCACAGTGATGTGCCTCTCACTTCTTTACAAGATCTGGTTTTAAAGATAAATTGTAGAGAGAAGAGCTTTCCTTTTTTTCCCCTTCTCATGTACATCTTATTGATATATTTTATATGTTTTTAAAATTTAAGTTTAAGTAAAATGTTTTGATATAATAAAAGCCTAATAAACAGTCCCAGGAATTCCCAGAAAATATCTGATCTAAATACTTAGAACTACATTTTCCTTTTCAAGTTTTTTTTTAATGAGGCAATATTTGAAGAAATAATACATCCTAAAAATAATGCAGCATGTGAAAAGAGAGTATGTTTATTCAGATTGGAAGGGAAAAGTTATAAACATCATATTTCTTAGACTGCCAAGAAAATGCAGTTACTTTTTTTCTGTTAACTGTGAACAGCCAATTAAAATAATTTTTCATGTCTTGAAAATAATATGTACAGTTGCTTCCATTTCTGGCAATATGACAGACTCCATATCCTAGAAAAGAGACCTTGTACAAAACACCTATCAATGGTAAAATAAAGCAAACTGCAAAGATCTGAATGCGTTAAAAAAAAAAAAAAGTAACAGTAATCTCCAGGAGCCACTGAACAAAGCTGGAGCTCGACTCCAGAGTGAGGAGGTCAAGTTGAGGATGCAGCACCTTGTAGGGTGTTTGCTGGTTTCTGTAAGCTCAAGACTTGATTTTTAATGGTGAGGGGAAAGGAGACAAGATCTGGGCTCAGGTTATACAGCGAGATGGAGCCACATCCTGCCATAGTTCTGGGACCCCAGAAAGGCTATACTCAAAATGAAATCAGAGAATAGTCCACTTTTGGCAAGCAGAGATGCTCAGGACATTTGACTGTCTTGGAGTAATTGCTGGATAGAGAAAGAGTTATCCTTAGAATTTGTAACCACAATCCTTCCTTCAAGTGTGTTTGGAGTTCAGACTTAAAACGCTTGCCTGACCAGAAAACCCTCAGGCAAGAAATAAACTTTAAATGGTCTTTGATTGATAGCATCCCAGAGTGCCTGGCAGAGGCAAACACAAATGCTGTCTGGAGGGACTTACCTTCAACCTGGGGATCACAGGATTTTAACAGATAAAGACCACCAAACAGGAGCTCATGATTTCAAATTCCAGAAATACACAAGGAAATGAGAGGCATGCGCAGGAGACGGGAGGAACCACAAACAGGAGAACTAGACTTCCAAAGCACATATATAATGATTTATCAGATGAAGAAAGTGATATAAATGCCTAGAATATTTCTAAATGTGCATAAGCAGCATGAATAAAAAAATAAGACTTTATCAAAAATTAAGCATAATTGAAAAGAGCCACATAGAAAGTTCTAGAAATTAAAAATACAACAATGGAAATTAAAAACTCAAATGCTCCTATTAGGTAGCAAGTATTCACATCTGAAGAGAACTGATCAACTGATTCTAAAGAAATTACATACAGTGCAATCAATACAAATAGATGGAAATGAGAAAGGTTAAGAGACATGAAAAATAGAAAAAGTCTATTATACATCTAGTTGGGACTGTAGACTTTGATTCAACAACAAGTGAGAAACAGCCATTTTCTATCAAATAAAAACAGAATTTACTATTAGCAGATCCATAAAAGGTCAAATACTTTAAAAAGCATGAAAATCAAAGAAATTGTTGAAGTCTGTAAAGCTAAACCACACTGACTGTGTAAAATAATGAGTCCATAGTGGGCATGAGAAATCAAGATACAAATAAAATACTGCTACACATCACATGTAAGACAGGAGCATTCTACAGGACATGTTAATCAGAAAGAGGGAAAACATAAACTTTAAATTGTGTCAAATGTACATGGTAAAAAAAAATCCTAAGGAAAACCACTGAAAGGATAGAAGTAGACTTCCTAACTTCTATAATAATATGAGGCAAAAGGATCAATCCAAAACATGCAAGAAAATACAGGGGAAAAAAATCTTAGAAAACAAGCAAGATAAAAGAATGCACACAATAAAATGTTAGAAATATATTCAAACATGTTATCAATTAATAACACATATTAATAAATAGATATGATATCAATTGTATCATATATTTATTAGAATGGTGATTCTATTCTATTATAACAAAATAACTATTAAATGATAATAAATATTAAAAACTAAAATGCAGTATCTTAAAAATAGTGATATAAGTTTGGTTTAAAAAATTCAGTTGTATATTTGTTTACAAGAGATGCTCATCATACCTAAGGGTATAGACGGTTTGAAAGTGAAAGAGGGGCAACTAGGCAACTAGGCAAATACTAGTTTTATTTTATTTATTTCACTTATTTTATTTTTAACTGAGATATAATTGACATATAACATTGTATAAGTTGAAGGTTTGCAAAGCATTGATATGACACATTTATATATCGTAGTATGATTACCGCTGGAGTGTTAGCTAACACCTCCATGAGATCATATAACTATCATTTCTATTTTGTGGTGAGAACATTTAGGATCTAGTCTTTTAGCAAGTATTCAGTATACACTACAGTATTGTTAGTGATAATCACAAGGCTGTGCATTAGATCTTCAGGACTTACTCATCGTCCAACTGCAAATTTGTACCCTTTGACCAACATCTCACCAAGTTCCTCACCCCACAGCAAATACTCACTTTAAAAAGCTTTTATTGCTGCATTAGTACCAAATTAATTTTAAGGTAAAATGGATCATTACAGATAAAGAAGGTCACTTCAAAGTGATAAAAGGACCTGCTTGCCAGGAGCATAATAATTGCAGACTTACATATTCACTGTGTACCTAATGAGACTCTCAAAATTTGTAAAATACAGTGATAGAATTATAACAATATGCTAGATATTGGCATGTAAAACTATTCACTTCGTAGAGGTGTTTGGCCATTCCCAGAAAAGTTGATGATGAGTTCCACTTCTACATATACATATCGTAGGGAATTATGCTCATCTGTGTTCAAGTCTACATGTAAAGGAATGTTTACAACAACATTATCTGTAAGAGTGAAAAACTGGGAAAAATGTAGCTATCCATCCTTGGAGGATATATGTAAGCAAACTGTGCTGTGGCCATTGAACATAAAACTGCCCTCACTGAGAATGAGTCAGCAGGGGCTGCAGGGGTTCACAGAGTGGGAGCGGGGACAGGAGGCGCATGTTGAGCAGAAATAAGTACTGAGTTTCAAAAGAACTGACAATACATTCAGTATGTTACTATCTACATGATTTTAAAAGGCAAAATAACACTATGTCTTGCATAGAGATCCATTTATTTCTTACAGTGAAGATGTAGAGAAAGCCAGGGAGTGATCAGCCCTGTGTCCAGGAGACTGGTCATCTCCGGGGGGGGAGGGTGGGGCTGCAGTCGGGGCATGGTGGGGCCATCGAGAGGGACACCTGGGCTGGTCACATCCCGTTTCTCAAGCTAGCCAGTGAGTACGGGTAAGTCTGTCTGATTATTTACACACCGTTGAGTAAGTCTGGAAATTTTTATAATAGTCTTTTAAATACTAAGGAGAATGTATAAACAAAACTTGTCCATATAACATGAAATTTAGAGCATGGACCCACTACCTCAATCCAAAAAAAGTGTCTATAACAATATTTTTGAAGCTACATTTGAAAAAAAATTGCAATTTTACTTTGAACAGATCTGTTTAGTATTTAGTAAGTGGCCAGCTGTTTTACTGGAAAAATGTTAATTAATTTTGTTTGTAATTCATTCCAAGCTAAAAAGATGGTGATGTAAGTTCCTGATATCAAAGATGGCTAAGGAGTTTGGACAGTTTTTCCTTTTCCTATGGAGATAATTTCTTTTCCTTGAGAGTCTGTGCCCAACAATAAAAAAATGCCTCATTTTAAAAAGTAATTTAGATTTTATACAAGAACAGCCTACCTAGGAAAAACAGATTGGATAATGGAAATGAAAATACTTACATTGCAGTAGGGCTTTAACTTCTTAAACTTACCCCCAGAATCTGTTGAAAATTTGGTTCTGAAGTTTTCATTCCCAGGAATCCCGTCGAGACAGGAAACAGTTTGCATCACCTAGACCAGGGTTCCCACACTGTCTTGCTCCAAGACACCCTCACGACATCGGAGACCAAAAGCAGGCCTAACCGTTCAGTTCAGTAAGTAGTCAGATCACGGTGATCAGACAGAATCTCACTTGGCACACACAGGACGCGGCGAAAGACACGCAGTGCCGCCTGTTGTTGGAACTGTGAGCTTCCTAGTGGTTTCAAGACTGTCCAACAGATTTTGAGTGTTGCTGTTTTCCCCTGGGAATTTCAGGTAATTCCTGGTACCCCTGTGACTGTACTACGGCTCCTTGCAGAACTAGGTAAAACACCCTCCCACATACAGAATTCACTCGAATTCATGGTGGTCTCTTTTCACTGCCGGCAGGAGAAGCCGTACAAGTGCTCAGAGTGCAGCAAGGCCTTCAGCCAGAAGCGAGGGCTGGATGAGCACAAGAGGACGCACACGGGGGAGAAGCCTTTCCAGTGTGATGTGAGTTCAGCTGCTCTTTTCTTTCCCTAGTGTCCTCCAGGAACCACCAGTAACAGGAGATGTGTGTTTGTGTGCATGTGTGTCTGTGCATCCATGTGTACATGTAGGGTGTGTGTGTAGCTGTGCATCTATGTGTGCATGTGTGAGTGCGTGTGTGCACGCGTGCATGCTATTAATGTCTATTAATGTCTTGTGCTCTTTATGCCCTTTGATTGCATAATCCAAGTAACCACGTTGTAGCAATGTTTTTTATCCTGGTTTACTGGCAGCATACAAATTTTTCTTTAAGACGTGCTTGTACCCTGTTTTATTGCAGTTGAGTTGTTCTTCCCAGGTATAAATGCATAATGATTCGAGGCAGCTTTCATGTGTCTGTCCAAGTCTTTGACAGGTTAATGATAGTTAAACCAGAGATTTAACTGGTCACAGATATCATTTATTTTGTTAAAGCCAAATAATGAATTCTAAAACATGCGTGAACTCCTTGGTTTAAAAAGCAGGACTAGTAACTGTCTAGATTTTCTGCTTATGACATTTGAATTGAAAAGAAATTATAGACATAGTTGTTCACGTTTATTTATGAAAGGACAAAGATACTACTATTGTCAGTAAAATTAATTGGATCATTGATTACTTTAGAGAAAAATGGTTTATCAGTGAACAGTGTCACCATTCTCCTGTGTGAGATTGCCAGTTGACAGAAAATGGGCAAAGGTGTTAGGAAAAACACTTGGCTTCTTTCTAAAATAAAAACAGTTTTTAAAAAGTATTAATGTAGCTCAATGTAAGAAGCAACATTGAAGTTGTAATGTGTGAGACTGCACAGCACACAGTTCTCTTTGAATGTTGAGGGAAACTCGAGTACTCAGCCCCACTGGCATTTCCCAGAGGATAAAGGATGGAGTAAGCAGTACATATAAAAGGAAACTCACCATCATGAAATGTTTTCCTGGTCTTTCCAGGAAGCTTTGGTAGTAAGGTTAAGGCAACAACGTACTCCCAGTGGGTCTACTCATAAAAATACCTTTATCAACAGAGAACTTCTTTATGGAAAGAACTACTTGTAGAGTAAGAAATGTACACATGTAGAGCTCTATCCTGGATGGAGGTACAGCCCAGATTAATAATTTGATGGATTGATAATTTAATCCATTGGCACTTTTATTGGAAGTGTTTCCTAGAAGCAAAACTTACTTGGATTATTTAATTGCACGACATAAATAAGTGATGGGAGACAGACAGAAATTAAATATTAACTGTGTGTGGACATTGTCCTACCATCCCCTCCTCCCAGCTTTTATTTGTGCTGGATATGTTTGTTGATTACTATCCTTAGATGAACTGGGCCATGATGTTATTTTCTTTAAATTGTATGACAGGCATGATTTTTCTACTTCTATCCCACTTACTTCTATCATATGTTTAAAAAACTCAGCCTTTATTTGCAGCCTATACTGGTCTGCTGAGTAAAGATTCAGGTCTAATGCTTCCAAAACTTCCCGAAAATGCAGCCTGCTCAGCTGAGAACTGTCTGTTCCAAAGTCTTGTCCTCCTGACCTACTCATTCCAGATAAAAGCCGTCCTTTCTCACCCCACCTCCAGTCTCCTTCCTAAATGGTTCTCAAATCCATCACTCCCTCTTGGTTTCCATTCCACCAACAGTGCATACATAGCCTGGACCCTCACCTCACTGTTTCTTATTACACTCAGTCTCCAATATATGTGCTCTCTACCCTGCCAGGGTGATTTTTTAAAAAATTGAAATGAAATTCATGTAACATAAAATTACCCATTTTAAAGTGAACAATTCAGTGGCCTTTAGTACATTAACAGTGTTGTCCAGCCATCATCTCTGATTCCAAAAACACTGCTATCATCCCAGAATAGAGTTCCATACCCATTAAGCTGGTATTCCTCACTCTCCCTGGCAAGCACCGATCTGCTTTCATTTCTACAGATTTACCTATTCTGGATCTTTCCTATAAATGAATCACACCATAGGTGACATTTTGTGACCGGCTTCTGTCACTTAGCATGTTTTCAAGGATAATCTGCATTGTAGCTTATGTATTAGTACATCGTTCCTTTTTATGGCTGAGTGATATCACCCAGTAACCCTGTACCCTCGTTGCTTCTATAAATTTTCAAACCTATCACCTTCCCTGAGTTTCCACTGCCACCTTCACTTCTCTTTTTCTCTCACCCCCGACATCCAGTGTGGTAGCAAATCAGAATCGTTCTATAAATAAGCTGAGAATTGGAACACTTCTTACACCTCCACAGCCACCGGCCTAGTCTCCTGGAATAATGCAATAGCTTCGTAATTGATCTCTCTCTTTCTGTCTTTGACCCTGACAATCTATCCCAAACTTGCCACCCACTGTGATCCACTGTCTAGAACCTGAGTCAGATTATATGTATGTGTGTGGCTTGTATATGGATTATATTAGTCTCATTTGCTCAAACCATTGACGACTATTTCATTTAGAGTGAAAACCATAGTTTCAGCATAATCCGCACATGAGCTGCACCCACCCTCCTGCCCGCCCCACGCTGACTTCACCACCGCCTCATGCTGGCCACACGGCTCCTCACTGTTCTTTCAGTCACCCCAAGTGCACTCCTGGGGCTAGGTCTTCGTATTGGTGTTTCCAGCCTGGAACACCCTGCTCAGAGATCTCTATGATCTGTTCCTGTGCTGCTTTCAGGTCTCGGCTCAAATTCCTTCCCCTCTTATTTCCATTACTTCCTTAACCCTCACCCCGTAGTCGTCTTCTCCTTCATGGCACTTACATCCACCTGAAACACTACATGTTGCTTTGTGTAGCTGTTTACCATGTTTTCTAAGTTTCATGACAACAGAGGTTCCCATTATTGCTTATTGCCATGTTTCCGGCCCCAGAATACTGCCTAGCATATAAGAAGCATTCAAGGAATATTTTTAAAAGAATGAATAAATGAATTAAGGGCCACTGTCTGAGTTTATGTACAAATCATTTCTGGCTTGGAGTGGAACAGTAGTTGGCCTCCCTGACTCCAGTTTGGTCCTCTCTAGCTTGCTGAATAAATTAGACGTTAGCTTCCATCTCTTCTTCAATTCCTAACACTGGCAGAATATACATGCTTCCAGTTTCTAATTATAATTACCAGGATCTGCAGGATTTGGCTCCAGCCTTCGAACTTCCTTTTCAAGCGATTCTTCTAATGAGGTCTTGTCTTCAGCTTAGTGAGCTGTTTTCACTTCCCCACCTGAGTCTTGCTCTTCACTCCTCTGAACCTTTGGTCGCTGTCTTCCCTCTCCCTGGAATGCCGTTCCCCGAGGATGTGATAACCCCTGTGCATCCAGGAAGAGCTCATTGCACCCTCCTCTGTGCCTCTCTTTGCATTATGTCCATGATGTTACAAGTATTTCCCTGAAGACTGTGGACTCCCCAGGGGCCGGGCAGAGTGCTCTTTGTCACCATGTTCCTTACTGAAGAGGTAGACACACTGTGATAAATATTTGTTAACTGAAGATGTTTGCATTGAAGTCTACATTATCTCTCAAGTACTTTCTGTTAAATATGTTGTTTCACTTTATTTTAAAACAAAATCACTTTACCTCCCGTCTAGGGAAAGAACAAAATATTTTCCCATTTTTGGCATGTAAATTAATACTAAGTTGGAGTAAGTTGAAAGCTTGTGTAAGAATCACGGGTGGGAAGAAAGAAAAGGAAGCATCCCTGATACTATTTAGAACTCCTTGCTCTCCCTTGTTTTTAAAATGACTGTAAACGTCCTTACATTTGACTGATTTATGCAGAGCATCAATTTGAAGTCCCTTAATGACTGCATTTAAGCTTATGAAAACATAGCTTTTAATGTCTAGGTAGTCATTTTCACAACCGTGACATAAGTTACCCTCTGCTGACATTTAATCCTCTACTCTGGCCCTTGTTCAACAATCTGTTGGATTGTTCCCCTCCCATCTCCGATTGGAGCTGCTAGAACTCCTTAATTCCGAGCCATCAGCAATGACTTCAGCCTCTTGCTCAATTCCTTTCCATTTGTCCAGTAATTCCCCATGGTGACTGTGTAAACGGACTTGCACTCTGTCTCCCTCACAACACGCTGGTGAGCTGAACTGTCTGAGAACCTCCTCTATTTTTTCAGAGATTTTTACTTCCGAAAAATGGTGTCAGCCAGGCAAATGGGAGAAAGTGTAGCCGGCTCCCATATCTCTGTTTGAAGTTGGAGCCTCTGATCATTGTTGGCCCTTTGGGGTTGGCATAGACTCTGAGCCCAGACTGTCTGGCTCTAAATCCTGGAAACCACCTCCTAGTTCTGTGACCTTGGGCCGCCTGCTTGAGACAGACGTGTATGTGTCAATTTCCTTCTGTAAAATGGGGATAGTCACGCTGGTATCTACCTAAAAGGGTGATGGCGAGGATGGAACAAGCTAATGTTTAGAAGAGTGGTTGGCGGCACACAGTGAAAGCCGATGTCAGTGCTTAAAAACCTAGCCCCGGTGCCAGACGCTGCAGTGAAACAGTGTACAGGACGCCACGTCCCGTTGCAGAGAACTCAACGTTCTGGTGGAATAAAATAAATTAAATTGAACAAATAAACCTGAGTAAATGTCTAACTGCTTGGGAAAGGAGAAAACAGGGAGTGGACTGTGAGAAAATAGGGAAGAATGAATGCCCTGAGCAAGTGACTCTACAAGGAGTCAGCCATGGGGGAAGGAGCATTCTGGGCTCAGGGAACTGAGCAAATCAAGGGCTGTGGGTGGGGAAGAGCATGGCGTGTTAGGGAAGAAAGAAGGCAAGTGGAGCTGAAGCCAGTGATTGGTGGGGTTGGGGGGCGTGCAAGGAAAGGCTGGAGAGCAAGCTGGTGGTCTCTCAACCACGTTAAGGAATTTACATTGAATCTAGCCTAGGCAGGTAGTGATTTTCACTCAGGTTGCAGCAGTGGAGACAGAGGCAGTTAAATGTCTTCTAGAAACATGTACGGAGGAGGAGTGGTAATTGATTAAGTGAAGTGGGGATAAGGGAGACTTTGGATCAAGGATGACTGCCCGATTTGCAGCAAGTGAGCTAGTGTCAGAAGGATGGCACTTTTTTTATTTTTGAGAGTTAGATTTGGGAAACAAAGTCTTCTTTGTTGTTGTTGAACTATAGTTGACACACAATACCATGTAAGTTACAGGTGTACAATATAGTGATTCACAATTTTTAAAGGTTACATTCCATTTATAGTTATTATAGAATATTGGTCATATTCCCTGTGCTGTACTATATATTCTTGTAGCTTAATTTATGCCTCTTATTTCCCTACCCCTAACTTGCTTCTGCCCCCTTCCCTCTCTCCACTGGTAACCACTGGTGTGTTCTCTGTATCTGTGAGTCTATTTCTTTTTTGTTATATTCACTAGCTTGTTGTACTTGTTAGATTCCAGCGCAGTTTTAGACTTACTAAGTTTGAGGTGCCACTGAGCTGTCCAACAGGGCACTGAGATCCTCCACTTGCAGTTCAGGGGAGATGACTGGATCAGAGACAGATATTTGTACGTGATCTCCATAAAAACAGTAACAAAAAGATCAGAGGAGAGAAAACGCCTGGTGAATGGAGAAGTGGGCTGAGGAACAGGTTCTGAGATCCCAACTTCAAGGTTAGGGTGGAGGAGGAGCCTGAACAGGAGAAAGGAGGGGGACGTGGCCAGAAAAGTAGTAAAAAGAAGGAGCGTTAAGTCATTCTGGAAAAAACTAAGTGCAGGGCGGGAGGAAGTGGTCAGGTATGTCAGACGATGCTGAAAATTCATGTAAAATGAGGGTTCACGGGGCCCCATCACATTTAGCCATGTGACCTAACCATGCTGGTGACCTGTCACAGCAGCTGAGAGAGTTAAATCCCTCAAGGTGAAGTCTGATGGGGGTGCACTGAGGCCTGGATGGAAGATGAGGGTGCAGAACCTTCACTCGGCCTGCTTTATTTTTTCATTGCAAAATAACATTTGCTTTCTAATGATAAAAGTTTCTTCTTTGTTGTTTCAGAAAAAAATAGGAAGTACAGAGGAAATAAAGACAGAAATAAAATGATCTCAAATTTCTCAACTGATGCCAACTAATATTAATGTTAATCTCTTGATGTTTTCCTCACTTACTTCTACAGATACAGTTATGCTCTTTATTTCAATGTTGTAGATTAAATTATGCATTGATCTTTGTATTCTGTTTTCTTCCCTTTACATTGGCCCATGCCTTTAAATATTTTTTGAAGTATTATCTTTTCTAACAGCTGAAAAGTATTTTCTCATCTGCTTATAGCAAAATGAATGTACTCATTAACTTTGGGCAAGTAAGTCATTTGCAGCACTTCACCTTTATGAATAATTCTGGGACGAACATCTCATGTAGACATCTTTGACTAGGAGCACTTCAGACTGGTGGTACTCCTGGTTCTTTTAAAGGCTGTGAAAATACGAATGCTAATAATCTCTGTCTCTCCAAGGCGCTTTTGAGGAAGGGCTACTGAGCACCATTACACATCCATCAGCATTTTACACACTTAGGCACATTCTGATCCCCTTTTAAAATGTTTGGGGGTATGCGTCATTTTGTTTAAAGTGTGTTTTTTTTTAAATAGCACGTGCTTGCATTTTCCTGTTTACCCTAATTTTGGAGTCTTACATTTATTGAGTGTCTGCAGTATAACACCCATTTGCATAAATTGCCTCATTTCATCTTCGTATGTATTCTGGGAGGTACTTATCATTATGGTCCCTTTACAGGTGAGGGAACTAAAGCTAAAAAGCCTCATTTGTTCATTTATGCTTCCTTAGTAAGTGATAGACTCTAATTCAAACCCAGTAGGTTAATTCAACAAACACTTATTTAGTGCTTACTCTGTGGGGACCAACTGACCCCCTCAGGACATACGAGTGAATAAAACTTACAAAGATTCTCTACCTTCGCGGGTGGCAGTGTAGTTGGGTTTTTAGGGAGGACCCTCTCACTAGCTGTGTCCTCTCCTGGCCTTCCTGGGTGTGTGCATGCAGAGGAGAGAGGGCGAGATCTGGGTGTCTCCCTGTCTGTGAGAGTGTTAATCCCAGCATGGGACTCCATCCTCTGACCTCATCTAACCCTAGTTATCTCCCAATGGCTCCACCTCAGATACCATCACACTGAGGGTTAGGGCTTTAACTTATGAATTTTGAGCGTTCACAAGCATTCAGCCCATAGCAGAATCTAAACCTAGTTTTCTTTATATCACACTATGCTGCTGCCTATGGATGACTCAGAATACATTATTATTGGATTACTGCCTCTCCTTACCAAATTGCCAGCCTTGCCCTCCCGAGTTTCTTGTTGCTGTGAATGTAAAATCCCCCTCCTCTCATAAAGAGAGAGAGAGAATTTTTTATTTGCCTTTATATTTTCACAAGCTTTCCCTCAGTCAGAACTTCAGCTTTTTTCCCAGTATTTTTACAAGCCTTTACCTCTCCCATCGTCGTCATTATGCTTTTCATGGAATTTTCACATTATTTAAGTATGTCTTATTTTATAGTGGGTGTGTTTTTGAAGAATTTCATGTGAAGGGAATTTTTGTGAATAACACCAGACTTTGACTGAAAATTTGGTATTAAAAGAATCTCATTTTATTTTCTTGTATGACTGAAAACTCATGCCTTACATCTTCCGTGTTAATTTAATATTTTAAATTATTGGGATGTTTAATGTCTGTTGAGCCAGGTGGCAATCTGGCGGAATTTACAGGAAGTGAATATGTTAAATGGCATATCTTTAAGTCAGAAAGAAAGAATTGGAACAGTGGGTAATAAACTTCCGGGTAGGATGCTCAAAGCAGTGCTAACCTTTTACTTCACAAATGGGACTGCATTGAAGAAATCGCTGGTGAGACATGCCTTTCGCCCAAAACTGGAGATGCCCCCTAGACCGTAAGGTATTTTGCTTACGAGGTTTAATGTGAAATTGTCAGTAAGCCCCATTACGGGGAGAAAGCTATTGTTTCTGGGGAGTTGTCTCTCCAGAGATGTTTAAATACAGTAGCTGGGGGAGGGAGGGCAGTTGGGATGCAGAGGATGCCCATTAAATGCAAACAACTCTTGGAAGTATAAATGTATTTTCTTTACTTCTTACTTTGGATGCTAGATTCCATTTCTCTCAAGAGCACTTTTTGTTCTTATGCCTGTCAGTACCTACTTGATAATAGGAATTTGCATAATGTATATTGTGTAAATGATAAATTGGTGTACCTTTGGATTTTTCAATATAATATGATTGGTGTCTTTGGGTCTTTTCTAGGTCTGTGACTTGGCTTTTAGCCTGAAGAAAATGCTGATCCGACACAAGATGACCCATAATCCCAATCGCCCGCTGGCTGAATGCCAGTTTTGCCATAAGAAGTTTACAAGGAATGACTACCTCAAGGTGCACATGGACAATATCCATGGCGAAGCTGACAGCTAGTGGTAGCTGCACAGGAATTAAGCTATTCAGAAGGGCTCCTGATATGAAACCCAGATTTCTCTCACCTGATTAGCATAGCAGAACTAGGCAAAAGTAATTCACTGGTCTCAGAGTTCTTATTTGCCGAACTTTAGAGTCTGTAGATAATATGCCAAAAAAAAACCCCAAAAAACTCCTTTTATCAAGAAATGGTACAAATGGAAAAAAAAAATAACTTTGTAGCCTTTCAAAAGACTACTGTGTTATGTCTTATAAAAATGGAAAAAGTTGCTATGGCTCTTCTTCTTGGCCGTCTCTCTATAATGAAGTTTATTAACATACCCCTTATGAGGCTCCTTTATTTCGTTATCCCTGCATGTGCGTGTGTGTATCTGCATGTGCGTGCATCTGCGTGTGCGTGTATCTGCATGTGCGTGCATCTGCGTGTGTGTGCGTTTGTACATGCTGGTTATTGCAACTGGTTATTACCAATTTAGCCAGAAAGAAATGAAGATTTCCAAGCTATTTCATTGCACATAAGGATAAGTGGCAAGAGTGTTCAAAGTCTCTAATAGGATAAAATCTGCTATTCTGTGAAACAGACCAAAAGTTGATCTTATTTAATAGCTCCCTATAACAGGTCAGTTTAAAATAAAGAGGTATTTAGGAACTAAAACATCTATTGAAATATTGCTTATTCCAGACAATTCTTAGGAAACATTTCCTCTCATCATTCAGATATGGACATTCATGGTCTGGAATGCTTTTATAGGATCTACACAAAAATATTAAATACACTTAAATATTTATCAAGCTGATCCTCCTGAGTTTGTGCTAGCTAGCTTTAGAAATTAACAATATATAAATATACACAACTAAAACTTGAAACAAAACAGCTCTCAGTATCTGTTGACTGACAGAGTGCCAGCACGACATGCGTGTTACAGTATTAGTCACGATGAACCTGGCCCTTTACCCTCTCATTCCACAGGAGTGCGCAGAACATGTTAGTACAGATAAGAGTCCTCAGAGCACTTACACTCTGTTTTGCAAAAGATATTTTCCAGAATCTTGGCAGTAGGTGATTCTGAAACACTTTTGAATTACCCCCTATCCTGTATAATCAGGAATCCAGAATAAAAAATCCAAACAAAACTGGCAATTTAACAATATAAACAGTGACTGAAATAATCACTGATGCATAAGGGAATGTGAAGCAAGGAGCATTTCTTCTTTTAAGGCTGTATTTCAATTAAATACTGGGGAGCAACACACAATGAACAGCTTATTTGGGGAGAGGATGTGATAAAATGTAACAGTGTTGTCAAAACACCATAGGAGAATCCAAAAGCCAGGAAAAAAATTAAAATGAAGCCCAATTCATGAACTTTTTTATTTGGAGACCACTCAAAAGAAAGGAGCAAGGGAGGGTATAGCTCAAGTGGTAGAGCGTGTGGTTAGCATGCACGAGGTCCTGGGTTCAATCCCCAGTACCACCTCCAAATATAAATAAATAAATAAACCTAATTCCTCCCCGCCTCATGAAACAAATTAAAAAAAAAAGAAAGATATAATTTCAAGGAAGTTATTTAGTTCTAATGATTTACGGAGAAAGGTTATCTGACAATTCTTTGAAATTAGAAAACTTGATTTAGAATTATATTTATGCTCAGTTCATTTTAAAAAGAAACATAAAGATTCATTAAAGATATTTAAACTCAGTAAAAATACTAATTTGAGACTCTAGAGCTAACTTTAAAATATATAAATGCCCAGATTCTAATTTAGAAGATATCTCAGTATGACTGTATGTAATGTAGCATTTGTATCTGAAGTTATAGACTGTATTTCATACCAATAGATTTTGGTCTTGTTTCTCACTATGTCATTTGTTTCAACAGTATATTTTTAGAACTCAAGTGTTTTCAGTTTAACGTGATTGTGTGCTTAATATCATTTGAATACAAAGGACAGCTGTAAAATTTTGTAGTGTGTATATTTAATCACGTTCTGCTCATTCCTTCGGATGCTGCCTTCTCTGAAATGGATGCTCCATGGCCCGATTATGTGATGAATGCGAAACTTGAAAGGAAGCCAAATGCCCATTTTGTTTAATCTCAGTGGCTCACAACTGACAGGGCTGCTGAGGAAATTACCCTGGGAACCATGCTAGGGCCATGCGGTGGAGTAAACTGATGAGGATGAGGCGCTGGGTCTGACCAGGCTGAAGGTCAGTAGTCAAGCAGAACTTTTCAAAATCCTGTGTAAAGACCTCTTGGGACACCACCCTTTCTTTTCAAAGCACTGAAACCAAAACAGGTCCTTAGAAGACTGTATGCTGTCACCTTTTATCCAAAAGACCACTATTTATAAGCATCTCAGATATATTAGCATTTCTGTCCTGCAACTTTTATATCACTTAACAATAACAAAAATGTGAGAATTGATTTTTTTAGGTTTGAGAAATTAAGAGCATAAATACAGTCGTCCTAGAGGAAAAGTCTTGTAGGAAAGCTGGAGAGCACGTACCCACTCTGAAGTCTTTCTCTTCTTTCCTGCTGTGAAAGGTTACGGTTCTGGTACTATCTTGGGAAAAGGCCACACTCTTTTACCCTGAAGTCAGGGCTAAGGAATTTTGAAAGGTACTCAATAATATGGGTAGGCTCAGATATGGGTTTATAATGACTCTTTTGTATATTAAACATTCAAAATATTTGTGAGAAATCCTGATTTTCACAAATATAATAGAAGGATGCTAAAAGTTATGGTGAATATTTTAGGTATTACCTTTTTAAAAGTGGCATTTCATCACTTTGGTGTTGCCTCAGTCCTGTGAGGTTTCCCTGACACAAAAAAAAAAAAAAATTACCATCATTGTGTCTCCAAATAGTAGATTTAGAAATGATACATGATTTAACCAGCTGAGGCACCTAGTAGATTGGAACTTTCATAGCCTTAACTACCTTGGGCTCAAAACCATGTTATCATCGCAGGTTAATTTATTGCATAAATTTATTGCATAACAGAATAAAAAATTAACTCTGGAGCCTTCAGTCTGGGCCAGGTCAGAATATTCTAGATTTCCTAGACATGTGAACTAGTACACAACTAGTACAAAATGGTGCTGCTGATCCAGCGTTCAAGTTTATTTTCTACCTTTTATTAAAAATGTGTAGCACGGTAGTGTAAAACAGCATATACATAAATGTTTATATTTGTTACAGAATAAGCTACTGACGTGCTTGATGGCATATTTAACTTCCTAATCCTGCAAACATATGAGCAATTAGAACAAGTTTCTGTGCCACCTTGGCCTATTACATAGCAGAAGGAAACTAAGAATTTGGGTAATGTTGATAATTCAAATGCTGAAAATTGAGAAGGGACATGAGATCACTGAAACTTGATCATCTAGACTAATGTAAAGGAGCTTAAATAAAATATCACTGTTTTTGACAAGGAGCACTGTACACTTACCAGGAATAACTTACATTTAGAGAGCACACACACACACAAAATCCATATGCCTCTGCAAAATAGTATAAAAATGAAAAGAATGCCAGATCATAGTGGACACCTTATTTTAAAATTTTGTCTTCTTGGGGAACATCAAATAATGCTCTTTTATTGAAAGTTAATTTTGTCTGATATCTTTTACATCTTGTCTGACTGGCATACCTTTCTTCCCCTCATTCTTCTACTGAAGACTTTTCTGTGAGTATATGTAAATTTTAGATGTGTTTCTAATAAACGACCTATGGTAAGAGTTCATATTTTTCTTATCCTGTCTGACAATGCTGTGTGCTCTTCAGTCTGTGATGCTGGATTCGTCCTGCCTTTCCCAGTCTCATGTAGCCTTCATATGACGGCTTACTGGGCTTTTATCAGAGTCTGAGGGAAAAATTTGCTCTTTATACCTAACATGTGAAATTCATCATCACCAATGTGTAAATCTGGTAAAAATGTGACATTATAGACATAATCCAAGACTCTCCTTTGTATGGTTCTTGCTGATCCAAGGTAGCTGCTGATAATGCAACTGGAAACAAAAGGGATTCCTTAAAAAGTATTTCAGGGGCTTCAATACCATGCACACAGGTATGACTGCTGAAATCTGAATGAGTGCACCACCATTATTGGGATTTAACTGTTGAAACAATCCCTCCTTTGTTCATTCTTTAATATTTGATAAAGCAACCTGTAAAAAGGGAAGTGCATTGGCCTCCGACTCTTATTTTTTTCCTTTCTAAAGTATCAGCATCTGGAGAGCTGAAATTGCCTTTGATGAACAAAAGAAGGTCTGAAATTAGCTTTTATGAAATCAAAGCAAACTGTATAGTTCCTATGCTAAGTAGGAATATAAAATATGGAGATGAGGAACAGTACCACGTTTAATTGATTCTACAACTTTTATTTAAGTTGGCAAACTGATGCATCTTTTATGCAATATTACATAGAGTAATAGAAATTCCAAAAACTAAATTTTGTGGAAATTAACCAAGAACTACTTTTGACTGTCGTAAGTCGAGTTTTACTACAGAAATGTAGGAAATCTTCTCCCAACCTTACTTTTGGCAATCAGGTTTACCACATAAGTAAAATAACTGTTCGTAGCTTGCCTTTGAACTGGCAAATGCACCGCTTTCTCCAGAACACAACATAGAAACAGCAGTGTCGAGGACAACACTCCTAAGCATCACTTCCAGCCTCCCTGCTCCTCCCCCGTGGAGTCCATTTCTTGTGCTATTTCAGCTGCTGCACTGCTTTGTGTAGTCTCCTGTTTCCCCCTCAGCTGGGTTTTGAGAGTGACAAGTTGGTATTGTTCCCAGACCCAAATTATGATACTTAGGATATTAAGTTGTATCCTTTCTGTTCTCACTGTAAAATATGAAATTGGGGCAGGTGAATTTAGTTGACTGGGGTATTATTAGACTAAGTATGTGAGCTGAGCCAGTTGGCTTTATACTGAGAGGAACTATTCCATAGTTTTCCGAGTCACAGAGCTCACCCCTGATGGTGCCAACTCTGTGAAGGGAGTGTGACTTACTGCGTAGTACAGGTCCTGAGACAGCGAGTCATGAGGATTAAGAGAGGAATTCCAAATGGATGTTCTACAGGCAGGAGTACAACGATGCCCTTCTGAAAATGGATAGGTTGGAATTAAAATTTCAGATGAGACTATTGCAATTTAAGATCTCAAATGTCTTTCCTAAGGCTTTCACATTACAGACGGACTTGAGATTAAGCCACCATCTCCTGACTTCTCTTTCTCCTCTTACTGGAGATCAGTCAGTCACATTACACTTATACAACACCAATTCTGAGTCTGAATTTTATCCATACCTG